ACTCCCAACAACGCTACACACGTCAACGCGATCGAGAGACGAGGGCCGTCGCCGTGGCGACGACGATGACGATGACTCACCGCCGTGATGGATGAGTTAGCGCAGATGCCTGCGGGGTAGCACATGCCGGCGCACCACGCGCATCCGTAGCTGTTCTCCAGACACCCGGGACACGTCTGTAGACTCATGCACTTAGCCTCGTGGTTCGCTGCTGCGGGGGCGGCAAAAAGAATAGAAGAGTATTAGCGCTGATTATCGTCATAGATGTTATCAGGAGCGTACGATATAGACTATATTATATACGCTCCTGATGTTATACTATCACAATAGTTAAACTTGAGAACTTGAGCAGAATGTAGTGTAAACACCACTGCATACTGGCTGCTCTGCACAATCACTCATGAACTGGAAATTCGAGGCGAGTCATTTTGTCCCCTTGTCCCTCGCAAGAAATTGTAAACTCTCCTCTTAACACATATTTATGTAAGTGCTGGAAATGCAAATGGATTGGAAATGGAAAACGAAAACTATTGCAGCTAAATTTAGCGTTTGCTTGTTTTTTGTTATTCTTTAGTATTCAATGGTTTGTAACCTTGTGTGCTCGGAAAACTGTTATCATCTGACATCGATAAATTATAAGTCATGCTCTCCATGTGTTACGTCTCCACAAACACAAGGGTGCTCTAAATTAATGAAGGTTCGATGACACAGTTCTTTTACTTGGGTTACACACTTTTTATTATATTATTTTTATTATTATCACATGTTTACATATACACACATGTACATTTACAGATTTTACTCACCCATACAATAAGACACACGCAAAGTGCATGCATGCACGCACATACAAACGCGCATACACGCACAAACACACACGCACGCACGCACACTCACATACACGCCCGCACGCACGCACGCACACTCACATACACGCCCGCACGCACGCACGCACGCACGCACGCACGCACGCACGCACGCACGCACACACACACCCACCTACCCACCGACAGAGGTAAACGCACCTGGCTTGGGGCATGCGCTGTCCGGTAGTTGCTGTACTTGTGATAGATAACGACATTTGCCGCCGACCCAGACACATTTCACACCCACCCGTGCCGTCCTGCAGCTTTCTTCATCCTCATTCAGGCTGCAGTCACCTACAGAGTAGCAGAAACACACCGATGTTAGCAGTTACACTGCCGCAGAAATATCAGTCTCACCCAATTACATACATTTTTCATACTGTTAGAACAGAATTTCAACCACGACTCAACGAGTGTCTGCGTTAGTTCTTTACCGTCTAGTTACTAACACAGTGTTTTAAAATGTAAATCGATGATTATCAATGATTATCAATGATTATCAATGATTATCAATGATTATCAATGATTATCAATGATTATCAATGCCAATCTTGGTATCAAACCAACTGTGACCCACCAGGTCATAATACGTGACTCTTGCCATGATGACCTTGACCTTGACACTAGCTCTGCCTGAGTTGACTTTCTATATTATATACATATAATTAACAATATATAAATGTGATGTGATGTAGATGAGATATGCACCATGAAATATATATATATATATATATCAGGAGTAGATAATAGGGAAGGAGTGTGACTTCAATAAACAAGGAAAAAAGCCTTAGAATATCTACGATTTACTCCAGGTGTTAGTAGCTGCCTTTCGTTTGCAAGCTCGGCAGGCAATACGTTCAGATTGATGGCCAAAGAATGGATAATTGTGTCGTACGTTTTAGTCTGTATCTCCGGATTGCGGGTGTATACGAGGAAACGATTTCGCACGATGCTAGGTGAATGTACTGTGTACGATTTGAGCTCAAGTTGGTTGAGTTACGCGTAGTAAATCGTAGGTATTCTAAAGCTAAAGTCACACTGGGGCCGGACTGTCCACGGATTACCGCGGATGGGGCGGGATCTCCCCGGACCGTAAAATTTATAATCCGTGGCGATCCGGGTCGAAAAAAGCATCATCGGGCCGGATCGGGCCGGACCAGCACGGCAGCGCCACGGACCATCCTGGATTGAGCCCGGATGAAGCCGGCCCCAGCACGGAGTCACTACGGACCGCCCCGGACCGCCCCGGACTGCCTCGGACCGCCACGGACCTGATCCGGCCTGGTCCGGCCCCGTCCTGGCCCATCCGTGCTCCCATCCGTGTTGGGTCCGGCTTGACGGATGGCCACGGATGGGCCCGGTTCAACACGGTGGCACTACGGACTGTCCAGGACCTACCACGGACGCGCCACGGACCGTCCAGGACCACCCCGGATGGTGAAAACTTCCCGGACCATCCCGGATCACCCCGGCAATTTTAAACAGTTTAAAACATCCGGGGCGATATCCCGGAATGCGCCAGACCATCAAGGACCACCCCGGACCGGGCCGGACCGTCCAGGACCCAACAAGGATCTCTCCCCGGATCAGTCCGGCAGCGTCCGGCCCGGTCCGGGAGCTTGATGTGACTTTAGCTTAAGGCTAGTAAATGACGAATTTCCCTTGTTTATTGAAGTCACACTCCTTCCCGATTATCTACTCCTGATATATATATATATATATGTACGTTTACATATGTTATCATATGTCACCCTCACCTGGACTGTACACCAACATCTACATCACATGTATATATACGTCGTTAACTACGACTCTCACCTGGACTGTACACCAACATCTACATCACATGTATATATACGTCGTTAACTACGACTCTTACCTGGACTGTACACCAACATCTACATCACATGTATATATACGTCGTTAACTACGACTCTTACCTGGACTGTACACCAACATCTACATCACATGTATATATACGTCGTTAACTACGACTCTTACCTGGACTGTACACCAACATCTACATCACATGTATATATACGTCGTTAACTACGACTCTTACCTGGACTGTACACCAACATCTACATCACATGTATATATACGTCGTTAACTACGACTCTTACCTGGACTGTACACTAGCATATCGTTCATCATCACGCTGTTGAAACCACCGAATATGTACACGCTACCGTTGTGCGCGACGGCGGAATGACCAAACCGTGGCGCGCGCATGAACGCAGCGTCGGGAGGGTCAAGGGTCATCCAGCTCCCGCACCCTGCAAGCAAGTAACGATCACGGTGACGCGATAACAGACGCCGGGGATGCTGACATTGTTACGGGCGCGGCGGCGGCGGCATCGCGCTGATATGTGAGTCATCGGTGCGACTCAGGATATATGTCAAATAGACATTCAATTCCTGCTATATGTCAAATCCGAGAATCGCGCGGGTGACCTCGACTAAACCACAATGTCACAATGTGACGTGTAGTAGTAAAAGTATGTAGTAGTATATAAAGTAAGTAGTAGAAGATGTTAGTGATGAGTTGTGGCACCGTGCGTCGTTGACTCGTTATGTACACGGATATCTGTTCCTGGGATGAGTGTGAACGTTGATCTACTCACGTGCGTGCATGCGCGCAGTCATAACGTTGAAATTTACTAGCATGGAGAGGGCGAATTTTGTAAGGGCCATGCTATCCAGTGCGCGAAATTAGCACTATTTTGTCGGCGGCCGCCGGTTCAACCCCCCATATAATCAGTCCACTAGGCATATTCAAAATTTTGCCTATCTTGCCTTTATATCAACAATATTTACCAATTTCCAGTTACCAGATTAGTTTTTACTTAGTGACTACTAAGCAGTAAATCATGTTCCAGCAATTCCTGTCAAACAAGTAGAACTCCACTGGTAACAATGAAATACTGAAATACTATGAGTATGTCTAATAAACACAAAGCTAATACTTTTATTAATAATGGAATAAATTGAACAAAATTAAGTCTGTTTACAATTTTTGGTGGGCCTGTTCATATTTTGGCTAATTTCATGTCCTGCTATTACCATATTGTGAAATTCGTTTTCAAACATAATCTCCTGTGCCTCGTTCTAATAATACGTACCAATAATTAATTACTCAATTAGAACGTCGCTCTCGACTGGCTCCGGAAAAGCTTCGTAATCAAATTAGATATCGGGCGCCCGTGAAACTAGATGCTTCGTCTTACTTAATTAGATACCACTCGTGACTGGAATAAGACGCCTCGTTAAGCGACGACTTAATTACACGTCGCTTCCGATTAGACTTGGCAACCATTTAATTCGATATCTGCGGCACGTGATTCGTAGCACGGGGAATGTTTATAACAGAAGATTGATTGCTAATGTTGTAATGTAATAACGCTACAATCGCAGCAACAACATCACGTGTATACGTTCAATTTGACTCTCCGGCTGTGCGACAACGATTCATCACTAAGGAGATTTAGTATATTCAGTACTTTATTATTATATTATGTTATTATTATTATGAAAGTCAGTCGTTTGCAGCAACCGACTAAGCGGTCGATTATGGAAAAGAATAATTGATTATCGAAAACAAATTTGTTTTAAAGAAATTTAAAATAAAATGTGCCAACATTGATGAAATGACTCTATTTAAATGAAATGAAAAGAATTTCCCTCTCGAATAAAATGAATTTTATTTTTGTGTGTTTTTTGGTTACTTTACAGCTTGGAGACAGTAAATCTAACCTACACCATACATAAGCAAACATAATACTGTTATATAGCTTTTAGAATATTGTATTATAAAAAACTGTATTATATGTCACATATACATGAAGTGTCGACGTTTACTCAGTACCAATATTATACAAATGCTACACCTGCATTAATAACACCGCTAGAGATTCGCCCGCACAGCCGTGAATGTAGGCCTGCCTAGTAGTACAGCTGTAGTACCTGCAGATGTGATTGCGTGACACAGCACGGCGTGACACAGCACGGCGCGACACAGCACGGCGCGACACAGCATGGCGTGGCACGGCGCGACACAGCACGGCGCGACACAGCACGGCGCGGCACGGCACGGCACGGCGCGACACAGCATGGCGTGGCACGGCGCGGCACAGCACGGCGCGACACAGCACGGCGCGGCACGGCACGGCACGGCGCGACACAGCATGGCGTGGCACGGCGCGGCACAGCACGGCGCGACACA